TGAAACAGGTCTCACTGTGTTGCCCAGAATGGTCTTGGGCTCGTGGGCTCAAGTGTTCCTCCTATTCCAGCACCTCCAACCAGCAGCTAGGACTATAGGCTGGGTGCACCAGCTACAGGGCAATTTATTATACACATGTTTTCTTAAAGGAAGTTCTGGCGCTGGAGGCATAGCTTGGTGATACAGCACTTGCTTAGCACATGCAAGCCCTGTATTTGATCCCCAGCACAAAAAAAAAAAAAAAAAAAAAAAAAAAAAAAAACACAAAGTCCTTTATTGGAAACAGGATAACAGGATATAAATACAAAGAAGTCTTTTGTTAAAACTTTTTGTTTTTTAAAGGTCTAGTTGGGATAGAGACAACCTGTTCTTAGCCAAGAGTACCTCCCAGGAATTAAACATGCCATCATCCACAACCAAAGACCATAGCTTAACTCCTGAATACCTTGTGCAGCTAAATTTTGCAGGAGAATCTGGGGGTCAGGGTTTAAAGAAAGGCTTTTTAACTCATAACCAATTTTCTTAAGGTTCAAATCTCCTCCATTTCCTCTGATAAGATTATAGGATACTTAAAAAAAAATTAAAACAATCAAATGAAGGTGCCAGGGAGAAACATCTACAAGTAATGGGGTGGGAAGGTCATGATCACTGTTATTTATTTATTTATTTGTGGGCAGTGCTTTGGATCCAACCCAGGGCCCTATGCAATCTACTACTAAGCTATGTATCCCCAGCCCCTTGTTTTGTTAAGTCTGGTTAAGATCTTCTAGAAGTAATTCCTTTTTTTTGCTACTGGCTACCAGATAATTTCTACACTTAAATTATTAAAAAATCTTCAAGATGGTAAAGTCCTGCTAATATATTCTTAGATACTGGCTTTTCCTTGACTTTCTTGACTATCAAAACCAAAAAGCAGGTGCTGAGGGCATAGCTCAGCAGTAGAGCACTTCTCCTAAATGTCTGAGGCCCTGGATTTGATCCCAGCACTGCAAAACAAATAAATTTTAAAAAATAAAATTTAAAAAAGCTAAACCGGCAAATTATTTGTAGGTATAAGGCTACATTTTAAACTAGAAGTCTATAACAGTATTAAATTTAACCTTAAAAAGGTACTTACCAAGCCCTCCAGAAGTAATTTGCATGAGAGAAAAAAATGAAAAGCAACAAATTTAACTTTTTGTTCAAGTATTTATAAAGCAATCCTCTTGCATTAGCTTTGCTCAACACAAAAGCAAGTCTTTCTTTAGGATACCCTTCTCCAAACCTTTCTGTTGCAGTTTTTTCCTGGAATCCTGTCCTCTTTCCCCTGCTTCGTAAAGTCTTAGCTTGCCTTTAAGAAGTTTTCCTGATTTCTCCAGGCAAGATGAATAATTTCCTCCTCAGTATTTTGCACACACTTTTATGATTCTGCCTCCAGTAATTTCTCAGCTTCTTAAGGGTAAGGGGCCTTGACTTTGATTACCAATACCAAGCACAGTGCCCAGCATAGGATGGGTTCTCAGTACTTTTTTTTTCCTCCCAGTACTGGGGACTGAACCCAGGGGTGATGTACTTCTGAGCTACATCTCCAGTCTTTTTTAAATTTTTTGGTTTGAGACAGGATCTCCACAGGTTGCTGAGGCTAGCCTCAAACTTGAGATCTTCCTGCCACCTCAGCCTCTTGAGTCACTGGGGTTTCAGGTGTGTACCACTGCTCCTGGCTTCTCAGTACATATTTGTTACATGTTACTGAACTAAATTAGGTAGTGAATGACAAATTCCAAATAATGAACTCTGACTGAAGGAAGTTATCTAACTAGCCTAAGGAGAAAGACCTGGGAAAATAGACTTTATTTCTGTTTTCATTGTATCCCAACTTTGTGAAGCCAAAGAAGAAAGAAATCAGACATAAATCACAATTCTGTTTTCAGGACTATATATGCTGAATTCTATCTCTTGCTATGGTAGCTATGGTATGATATTTGCTGGAGTGTGGGGCAATAAATTTAATAGGAGAGAACAATGAGCTCTGGTGCAAAGCAGGAAATAATAGATATCATTCCTAGTGTGAACTGAGATAAAATATTGGCTTAAAAAAATTGGGGAGACTGGGGATGTAACTCAGTCATATGGCTTTGCCTAGCATTCGTGAGACCCTTGGTTCCATTCCCAGCACTATCACCAACACAACAACAAAATAGAACCAATAAGTAAATTATTCAGTTCAAAGATGTCCCCCATTTAGTTACTACCTGTTCACAGGTCAACATATGCACATATGATTCTATCTGTTTATTACGTAGACCCACTAGTTTTTTTTTTTTTTTTTAAGTGTTACCCTGAGAGACTGAGGCAGAAGGATCTCAAGTTCAAGACCAGCCTCAGCAATTTAGTGAGACCCTGTCTCAAAATAAAAAACCATCTGGGCATGGTGGTATATGCCTGTAATCCTGGTGAATTGGAAGGTTGACTCAGGAGTGCGAAGTTTTTTTGTGTGTGTGGTAGTAAAGATTGAATCCAGGGACACTCTACCACTGAGCCACATTTCCAACACTTTTTATTTTTAATTTTGATACAGAGTCTCATTAAATTGCTGCGGCTGGCCTCCTCTTGCCTCAGCCTCCTAAGTCACTGGGATTACAGGCATGAGCCACCACCCTAGTTATGAGGACAGCAAGTTTGTGGCCAGCCTTGGAAACGTAGGCCCTGTTTCAAAAGAAAAAATATAAAAGGTCTGGGGAGGCTCAGTAGTAGAGCACCCCTGGGTTTAATTTCACAGTACCAAAAATAAATAAATAAATAAACAAAAATCAATAAATAAAAAGGACTGGAGACTTTGCTCAGTGGGAGTACACCCCTGAATTCAATTTCCAGTACTGCAAAAAACAACTGATTAAAAACATTTTTAAAATAAATAGTGCTACACTGTTTCTGAAAGTGAAAATGAACAATGAAGTATGCCATATTCACATAGAATCTTTGGTGCTTTTCCATCCTGAAATGGACCTTGCAAAACTAATTCTATCTTTTCTAATCTTCAAGTCTGGCAATTTAAGGTGGCTATTCCTTGTGTACTTATCTGTGGATGTGGAAAAAAGGGTGGAACAGTAAATACACGATTGCACTGAAAACTGTTCTGATTAAAATAAGTCAATATCTGCTGCTGATAAACTTTGTTGGCTAAAATCAATTTGAGTGGGAAGAAAGCCACATGTGAGTTGTAATTTGAAGAGTAAAAAGGCAGTGTGTTTCAACACCTCCAACAAGCTACCTACATGAATTCACTTCCAGAGATTCAAAACTTGTAAGGAAACTTTTTCTTGGTGTGGAATACATAGTTTCATTGCTTCTCAACGCAGGGAAACTGAATCCATCTTGTCAGTTACTAGAGGACCTCATTCAGAATATCTAGTTATTAAGCAGGATGAAAGAGCAGTTTGAAAATACCAATGTTAGGAATTTTTTTTTTGAGAGAGAGAGAATTTTTTAATATTTATTTTTAGATTTCGGCTGACACAACATCTTTGTTGGTATGTGGTGCTGAGAATCGAACCCGGGCCGCACACATGCCAGGCGAGCACGCTACTGCTTGAGCCACATTCCCAGCCCCAATGTTAGGAAATTTATATAATCAGGTGTCATGTTTTTTTTCAGTTAATAGGAGATTGTGCTGTTCATCCAAGTACTCACCAGATAAGAGGGTATAAAGATTAAAGACTACCTAGATTTACAGGAAAGCACAGAAATTAATCTAAATTTCCATGGATTCCGGTTCACTTTCTAATTCTAATCCCCATAGTCAGAATACCCCATCAACAAAAGTGTTTAAGACTGGGAGTGTAGCTCCATGATAGATCCCGTGCGTAGCATGCGCAAGGCACTGGATTCAATCTCCAGCACCAAAAAAGGTGGCCAGGATTTTTTTTTTTTTTTTAATGAGGAGCGGGCAAGATAAGTGGGAGCACCGCTGCACTCGTTGTCCCGTTGTCTTCTCAATACTCTGCTCCCTCTCCTCGCATCATCAGAGCACTTTTCCCATACCTTCAGTATGCACCTCTCAAAGTTCCCTGGCCGCTTAGTTCTCTTATGCCATCTACATCTGGCTCCAGTCTCCCAGTCTCCCAGTCTCTGACATCCATAACCACCTAGTTGAGTCTGTTCTCCCCTTTATACTTCCGTCTGCGTTAGCAAGGCCACTCACTTAACTCCCTATTCCTAAATCTCTTGGGGCCCAGCCCCAGCCGCTCACCTGGTCCTCGCCCCGCAACCGTGGCCGGTCCCCGGGCAGCCTGCCGCCCTCGTCGCTGGCAGGGTCCCCGGGCCCCTCGTAACCCAGGACGTGAGGGCAGCCGCGGAAGGCGAATTCTTCCAGCTCGCGCAAGAGGCGCTGCTGCTCCGCCGGTGCTCCCCGCACCACCTGGCGCAGGCGGAACTGCACCTGCGCGAAGTGCGAGGACAGCGCGAGTAGCGCTGAATCCAGCCGCCGCCGCTCGGCCCGCAACCGCCGCAAGGTACAGCTGGGCGAGTCCGGCGGGGAACCCCGGGCCGTGCCGGGCTCCTCGGCTGCCGCCTCTTCCGAAAATGCAGACACCCCAGGCCCGGTCTCGGCCACCGCCCCTACTGGGGCCCAGCGCACCGCCTCGCATGGTGACAGCAATTCCTCTTCCTCCTCCTCTTCGTCCTTTGCTTTTGCCTCAACAGCCGCCACCACCGCTACCGATTCCTCAGCAGCGTCCACAGCAGCCATCTTTCCGGAAACACTGCTGAACGTCAGCCGCGCCCCCTTACTGCCATGGCAACGGCGCGCAGGCAGGGAAAAGGGGGAGGAGTGGAGGGCGGGGCTTAAAATTTGGTCGTACCCGAGGGCAGTACTCCCGAGGGCAGTACGCCCCTCAGGGACTTCTTTCGAGCCAATAATTTTCTCCTGAGCGCCTATTCTGAATTAGGCAGAGAGTACTAAAAGTTGGAGAAACAGGTAAATGAAGCCGAGCACACGCCATTCCCTGTGTTCAGAGTCTAGGATGGCCCTTTCCTGGTTTAAGCGGGTGCGCAGTTTATTCCTCATCTGTACATTTCTGTAGATTTTGAGAGGTTAAAGTCTACAGGTTTTAAACTCTCCCAGAATCCCTCCAGAGTGCAGATCTCTAGGCAGTGGAGCCACATTCCCCACCCTCTCAACCCTTCCCTCGACCATATAAGGAGAGGCAGCTGCTAGGGGCGTCCCCAGTATCTAAAGATAGAGGCTTTTGCCTGGGACTCCAAATGCCACTGGGCAGGTGGAGCAGCCATGGCACGGTAAGTGTTTCCGGCCTTGGTACTGCCCCTTTCCCTCCGCCCTTTTCCCTGGAGATTCCCTTCCAGTCTAGTGCGCACCCCAGGTTCAGTGAGGCCCATGGGAGCCCAAGACCCCAGAACTCTGTAACTTATAGGGTGAGTTTTGATTCGACCTAGGTTCACCCTCACCACATCTATGCACTTCCGTCACTCCCTTCCTCCCCCTCTGTCTTGTATTGCTCTACTTTAACAGAACTGTGGCACCGAACGTTCCTTTAAGGTCCCCTCCCTCATCTTACCCAACTGCCCTATATTCCCTTCCCCACACTTATGAAGCCCCACCACACTCCTCTCAGGCAGCATGCCCGGACCCTGTGGTATGACAGGCCCAAGTATGTGTTTATGGAATTTTGTGTTGAGGACAGCACGGATGTCCATGTGCTCATTGAGGATCATCGCATTGTGTTCAGGTAATGGCCCTCCTCTATGAAGGGGCTCGCTTCCCAGGAACTTCTGTTTTCCTAATCCGCACCCCCACCCCCAGGCCCCCACATCTCAATTTCATTATTTCCGTAGCTGCAGGAATGGTGATGGAGTGGAGTTGTACAACGAGATTGAGTTCTACGCCAAAGTGAACTCCAAGGTGAGGGTGGGGTGCGTCAAGTAAGGTTTGGATGGAAAAGGTGCCCAGGAGATTCATATGAAAACTCAGACCCTAAGAATGAGGCTTTCTATCTGGCAGGATTCCCAGGATAAGAGGTCCGGCCGCTCTATTACTTGCTTTGTGAGGAAATGGAAGGAGAAGGTGGCCTGGCCCCGGCTCACCAAGGAAGATATCAAGGTGTGTGGGGAGTGGCTTGCTCCTTGTGTGCTCTCTGTTCATCCTCTGGGATTGCCCTTGCTTCCTTTCCAGTCAATATTCAATGACTCATCAGGCCCTGCTTCCTACTCAATATACTGCCCTCCCTCACCCACATCCCCAGTACTAGGAACTGAACCCAGAGTGCTCTCTCACTGAACTACATCTCCAGGCCTTTTTATTTTTATTTATTTAATTTTTTAAAACATAGATGGAACCCCGTGCCGTGGTGCACTCCTGTAATCCCAGCGGCTGAGACAGGAGAATAGCAAATTCAAAGCCAGCCTCAGCAATGGTGAGGAGCTAAGCAACTCAGTGAGACCCTGTCTCTAAATAAAATACAAAAATAAGGCCGGGGGCTGGAGATGTGGCTCAGCGGTAGCGCGCTCGCCTGGCATGCATGCGGCCCGGGTTCGATCCTCAGCACCACATACCAACAAAAATAAGGCCGGGATGTGGCTCAGTGGTTGAGTACCCCGAGTTTAACCCCCGGTACCAAAAAACAAAGATGGAGGTTTATTTAGGTAATAAACATATATTAAAGGAAGAATGGGGACAATCTCAAGAGAGACGCCTTGGGTGTAAAGCAAGGAATACACATTCAAGGGAGAATGCAGGCTATCTCCAGAGGGAAAGACAGTCTTTATTTATTATTTTGAGATAGGGTCTTACTAAATTGCTGAGGCTGGTCTCTAACTTGTGATACTCCTGCCTCAGTCACCACTATACCTGGCTGATCTCCTAAATATTTTTGAAATTATTACTTATTGGTTCAGACCTCCTCCGTCAGTATTTTTTGGGAAGTTTTTACTATTATTATTATTATTAGTTGTAGAAGGATGCAAAACCTATATTTTATTTATTTTGATGTGGTGTTGAAGGTGGAACCCAGTGCCTGACATGTGCTAGGCAAGCATTCTATCCCTGAACTACAACCCCAGCCCCTTTGGGGAAGTTTGTTGCATATTTTTGGCCCCATCCACAATCCATCCTCTGTGTTGTTCCAAGCAGACTGTCTAAAACATACCTTAACCTTAACACTTTCCCACATAAGACCCTCCAGTGGCTTCTCCCCTTAAGATTGAAAGTTCAGCTGGGCATGGTGATGCATGCCTTTAATCCCAGCTACTGGGAGGCTGAGGCAGGATGATCACAAGTTCAAGATCAACCTGGGCAATTTAGTGAGACCTTGCCTCAAAGTAAAATATAAAAAGGAGCACTCCTGGGTTCAGTCCCTAATACCCCAAAACCCAAAACACAACAACCACAAAAAACCCAAAGCTTGAAAATTGGTCACCTGCTGGATGAATCTAACTTTTTTCACATTTATTTTAATATTTTTCACAGTGTCAATTTTTTTTTTCCTTTAGTACTAGGGATTGAACCCAGGGCCTCATGCATGCTAGGCAGATACTCTTCTACTGAGCTACATCTCTAACCTTTTTAAAATTTTTTATTTTTATTTTTGAGACACAGTCTCATTAAATTGCTTAGGTTGGCCTTGAATTTGTTATCCTTCTGCCTCAGCTTCCTGAATAACTAGAATCACTGGTGTGCACTACCATTACCTGGCATAAAAATTGTTTTGATTGGTTACATTTACATTTTTTATTGCTTGCTGGCATTTAAAAATGTAAGATATTTTACCTACAAATTCAGATTATTAGCTTCTTTGCAATTTGGGAGAATCTGGTTATGCTAATATAAATTCCCAAATGCTGAATAGAAGCTTTAAATGGGGTATGCAGTTCACCTCAGGTTACTCTTTTTCATTACCTCCCTGACCTTTTTTTTTAGGTATTTGAGCTGTAACTCCTTCCCTTTGGGTTGAATTCCAAGTACTGTAGCAAGGCAAGAATCCCATCCCATACTTTCTGGCTCCATGTTTACATTCCAGACACAGCAAGCTATTTGCAGTGTTTTGTTTCTGTGTTGTTTTTTTTTTTTTTTTTTTGTACAAACTAGGTTTTCCTCACCTTTGTAACTTTGCTCAAGCCATGTCTTTTTCCTGAAAATCTACCACCATTCTTGCATTCACTTACCTAACCCCTGCATATCCTTAAAGTCCCTGCTATTCCAAGAAGTATGGGTTCCCCTACCTCCTTTCTGGGTTCCCGTGATATCCCCTGTTTCATCCTACCACCATACTTTTCACACTGTGTGCAAGACTGTCTGTGGATTTTTTTTTTTAATGTATCTTTCCCCCACTTTCTTCCTGATGGCTGAGACACTCTGTTGAACATTTTTATAATCCCAGTACCAAACTCAGAGTCTGACCCATAGTGTATGTTCAATAAATATTGTTAAATGAATGTGTGAATGATGTCTTCCCTATATAAAGGAGGACACTTTGGAACATGGGCCTCAAAGTGTCACCTCTGATTCCAGGGAATGCCACTTGTCTGTCTTGATTGACTGGCTCCTGTGATGCTTTATGATATTTTTCCAGATGTGTTGTCCCCCTAAGGGCAAGACTTGTATGCTTTTACAGATCCTGTCATTTCTGGCATTGTGCTTAGCAGCTAGTAGATTTTTGGTAAATATTTGTGGATGCCAACGACAACATGTCAGCCTGGAGGGGAGTTGGTCAAAAGGGATGCTGTTGGGAAAACTATACCGCATTGACCCTCTTAACCCTTCTATGCACATACTGATAATCTTTTCATGCATTCCTGATGCTGCTCTTCCTGCCTGTGACTCTCTGTATTTCCTCTTGCAGCCAGTATGGCTGTCTGTGGACTTCGATAACTGGAGAGACTGGGAAGGGGATGAAGAGGTAGAGCTGGCTCACGTGGAGCATTATGCAGAGGTAGGAGATATAGCACCTGCTGGTTTTTGCCCATCTTGGTCATTCTCTGTGTCTGTCTGCATACATTTCTCTGGAGAATTGTCATCAGGACCAAGCAGGGATAGTTAAGCATCCTTAGTAGGATATTCATTGGTGCTGTTACTCTTTACACATTTCATGCAGTGTTTAGTAGGGATGAGAGGAATAAACATTAGTGAAATTATATATAGATTCAATTACTATTCTTGTCTTTTATTTTCTTTGTGTTTTTTTTTTTTTTCTTCCTGAGCCAAAACATTGCATGAGAAGCTAACGCCAAACAGTATAAAGTGTGTATCATGGGTTGAGGATGTAGCTCAGTGGTAGTGCTTGCCTAGACTGTGTGAGGCCATGGGTTTGATCCCTAGCACTGTTGAGAAGGGGGTGGGATATGAATCTGGATTAGTAAGGGTAAAGACTATGTGTATTTAAGTTTACTTTTTTTACAATGAACTTTTGTTTTTTTAATTTTTTTGTATGGGGATTGAACCCAGGGGCATTTAACCAGTGAGCCACATTCCCAGCTATTTTTTAATATTTTATTTAGAAATAGGGTCTCTCTGCATTGCTCAGGGCCTTACTACATTGCTAAGGCTGGCTTTGAACTCACGATACTCCTGCCTCAGCCTCTTGAGCTGCTGGAATTATAGACATGTGCCACGTGACAGGCTCCAGTTAATTTCAGTGATGTGTTATGGGTTTTGAAGATGGGAGTAGTTGCCTGGCAGGCTCTGGCTGGGACCATTCTTCTGTAGTCCATCAATATGCAGGTTATCCTTCCCTCACCCTCCTTGACTCTTGGGACTATTTTTTTCTTCCCATTAGCTTTTGGAAAAGGTCAGCACCAAGAGACCTCCACCTGCCATGGATGACCTGGATGTAAGTAATGCCTTTCCCGCCACTCTTGAGTTTCTTTTTAGGCCTTAAAAAATAACACACTAGAAAGTTTCTATCCCGGTCTCTAGCACACAATAGTTCTCAGTGCATATTAACCAAATTTGAATTTGACAAATGTTCTGCAAGTTTTAGAAAACCAAGAGCATCCTCCCTTCCATCTCCCTCCCTCCTATCCTAGAGCAGATCTGGTCCTGTTGAGCATCTTTACAGCTGTAGGATTGGTAGAATTATTGAAATTCTGGAACTAAGTGATGCATAATAGAGTGCTGTTTATTGAGTGCCAGGGTTTATTTTATTATCCAAAGTTAAAATCCTTCATTATTAGCCTCCTAAGAAGTATGTTTTAGAAGGTAACAGAGAGGAAACATGGAGAGTAGGCAGCTGGGAGCAGCATTTATAAACATAAATGTTCATTTTTTGTAGAGCCTACAGGTGCTTTGTCTTTTTTTCTCTCCCCAGGATGATTCTGACAGTGCTGATGCAACAAGTAATTAACTTTCTGTGACAGCAGAGCTGAGAGGAGATTATAACTGCTTTCTGTTGCTCTGAAGAGTCGTGGCCTAGACCCTGTCAGCTCTTTGGCTGTGCACCAGGGTCCTTTGAGATCTCCGAACTTCCCTAGAAGTTCTTTTTTTTTTTTTCCCTAAATATTTATTTTTTAGTTTTAGGTGGACACAATATCTTCACTTCACTTTTATGTGGTGTTGAGGATCGAACTCAGTGCCTCGTGCATGCCAGGCGAGCATGCTACCACTTGAGCCACATCCCCAGCTCCTCTACAAGTTCTTTATTAAGTGTTCCTCTTCATACTTTATGTCTTCCTACTGTGCACTTGACTTTGGTGCTTCATCAAGATAGCAGGATAGGGGAGGAGTAGTTGGGGTTGGGAGGGGCTTCTAACTTCTTACTGATTTATTTATAAGATCTATGTTTGGGATGCTTGGTTATTTGAGTTTTCCATATATGTGATAGAGCAAGAGCCAAAGAGGAAACAGATTATAATAAATCTCTAGGAGTGGTTCTCCATCTTCCTCTTGGTGGAAAGCCTCTTCTGCTTTCAGAGTTTCTCTTAAGAATGTAGGGTAGGGCTCAGAGATTCTGGTCCTCATTGAGGTTGGAAGAAAAAAGATATTAGGGACAGGCTTATAACCAACCCAAGGACTTCCTCTTGCCTGTATCTGGGCTTGGTTCTTCTTAGAACCAGTCACCTTAGGCCAAGAGCAGGGTGCAAGTCTATAATTCCAGTGGAAGCTGAAGCAGGAGGATTACAAATTTGAGGCCAGCTTTAGCAATTTAGCAAGACCCTAAGCAATCTAATGAGACCCTGCCTCAAAAAAAAAAAAATAATAAAAGGGCTGGAGATACAGCTCAGTGGTAAAATAACCCCAGGTTCAATCCCCAGTACCAAAATAAAATAAAACGAAAAACCCAAGCAAACTAAATAAACTAAGCCCAGCCACCTCAGCTTCCTGCATCCATAAATCTTTTCACATTTTCAAAACTAATGTTTACTCTAGTTAATGTCTATATCTGTATACTCTTCCATTTAACAGGTTCTTCATTCATCCATAAATACCTTTTTAAAAAAATATTTCTTTTTAGTTGTTCTGGGACCTTTATTTAATTTATTTATATATGGTGCTGAGAATCAAACCCCACTTGCTAGGCAAGTGTGCTATCACTGAGCTACAACCTCACACACCATTCATAAATATCTTTTGAGTGCCAAATGTGTTCAATGACTGTGACTTAAAACAAATGTAATATCCATAGACCTTGTTCTTTGAAGTCATAGTTTAAGTTTGTTTGTTTATTTGTACTGGGGATTGAACCCAGGGGCGCTTAACTGCTGAGCCATATCCCCAGTTCTTTTTATGTGTAATTTTGCTACAGGGTCTTGCTAAGTTACTTAGGGTCACACTAAGTTTTTGAGGTGGCTTTGGATTTGCAATCCTCCTGCCTTAATCTCCCAAATTGCTGGGATTACAGGTGTGGACCATAACATTTGGCCCTGAAGTCATGGTAAAGTATTAAGATTTGTTTTTAAAAGTAAGTTTTATGGGCTGGGGTCATGTCTCAGTGATAGAGCACTTGCCTAGCATGTGTGAGGGGCACTGGATTCAATTCTCAGCACCATATATAAATAAATTAATAAAGGTCCGTTTACAACTAAAAAATATTTTTTAAAAAGTAAGCTTTAAAACTTATATAAGCAATATATACGGATATAGTTTAAAAAATGAAATTGTATAGAAGCTGAGCGTAGTGGCATGCATACCTGTGATCCCAGTGACTTGGGAAGCTGAGGCAGGAGGATCACAAGCTCTAGGCCAGCCTCAGCAACTTAGCTAGACCCTATCTCAAAAAATAAAAAAGGGCTCAATGGTTAATCCTCAATACCATTCATTCAATCAATCAATCAATCAATAAAATAATAAAAATAGAACATAAAATAGATAAAATTTAAAGAAAAAACTTGTGCATCTTCCCTTATGGGGTAACCACTCAACCGCTGTTTTGTTTATTTTTCTTTTTCCCATCTTTGTGTGTGTGTGTGTGTGTGTCTGTGTGTGTGTGTGTGTGTGTGTGTGTGTGTGTGTGTGAGAGAGAGAGAGAGAGAGAGAGAGGGAGAGGGAGGTGTATTGGGGATTGAACCCAGGGGCACTCTACAACTGAAATACATCTTCAGCCCTATTTTAGTCAGCCTTTTCACTGCTGTGACTAAAAGACCCTTCAAGAACAACTTGAGGAAAAGTTTATTTAAGGGCTCATGATTTCAGAGGTCTCAATCCATTGACAGCCAGCTCGATTCCTGGGGGCTTGAGGGAAGCTGAACATTATGGCGGAAGAGTTTAGTGGAGGGAAGCAGCTGACATGATGATCAAGCAGCAGTGACAGAGAGATCGAGAAAGAGTATCTACTCTCCACGTACGAAAAATATATGCCCCAAAGGCACACCCCCAGGGATCACCTTCTCTAGCCACACTCTACCCACCTTCAGTTTCCACTCAGTTAATCCCTTTAGGGGATTATTTCACTGATTGGGTTAAGACTCTCATTTTGGGGGACACCTCACATCCAAATCATAACATTCTGCTCCTGGTTGCCAAAAGCTCATGACCATTTCACAATGCAAAATACATTTTGTCCATTTCCAATGGTCCTCATATTCTCAACAGTTCCAAGATTGTCCAAAAGTTCAAGTCCAAAGTCTCCTCTGAGATTCAGGGCAAGCTTGCATTGTGAGCTCCTATAAAAATCAAAAAGCAATTTACAAGTATCTAGTATACAAAGGTACAGAGTAAACATTTCCATTCACAAAAATAGGGGCATAGAAAGAAGGGATGGCACCAAAGCAAGACTTAAATCCAGCTGGGCAAACAAATCCTGTAGCTCCACATATGGCTCCTGGGGCCCATGGCATGGTGATGTTCTGTCCAAAGGACTTGTATAGATCCGCCTCATGTCCTTGTTGGTTGTAGCCATAGGGCCTTTCTGTTGGCTTGTCTTTGCTCAATTTCTGCAGCTTTCGTAGGATGACGACCTATGTTAGTGGCATTTCTTAATCTTGGGGTCTCCACTGCAGCTTTGGATTCCTCTGCTGCCCCCGTCCAGTGCAGGCAACTGAACTAAAGTCAGTTAGTGAATTTGGGGTGACACAAAATACCACGCAGACATGGAATATTTTTTTTATAAGTTTCAGAACAGCTTCCCAGGCTCCCCCACGGGGTGGAGGTGTGGGTGGGAGTGAGTCACGAGAAGCTGATGAGAGAGAAAGAGGAGAGAGTGAGCGGAAGCACACATTCTGGAGCTGGCTTTAATTGGGGGACACTGTTTCTTAGAACATTCTATCCAAAAACAGGGCAATGGGTAGGATTACAAAGGAATAGGTGAGTATGACTCAACCCCCCCAGGTAACATCTACTCCTGGAGCCATGCCTCATTATCCACGCAAAGGTAAAGCCCAAGTTATTGCGGGGCACAATAATTGTTCAGTATCTCTTGCTCAGGACTTAAGGGCATGTATTTCCAGAGCGGCTCCTAATATTCCTCTTCATACTTTGCCCTCTCAGGAGTTGCTTGCAGGGACTCTGACGCTGCTGTACTTTGCCTGGCTTCCCATGCCTTCCTTTGAAATCTTGGTGGAAACCTCCGTGGACCTCCATGACCTGCAGAACCAGCACCTTGTGGCTGACACCCTCTAAAGTAGTAGTAAAGCTTCTAGGAACCAGGGCTGCAGCAGCCTCTGAGTGTCTGGGTGACTGAGCACATTGAAAAAACTTCCTAGGCCCCTTATGTAAGAAGAGTATCCCACTGGTCTCTTCTCAAAAGAATTTTACTTTTACTTCCTTGAATCTGAGATGGACATGATCTTGCCAATTCCTGTGATGTCCTCAGGTCATCTTTCTGATAATCTCTGGGCAAAGGCTTTTAGCATTTCTTTAGTGGCAGCAATCCCTTTAACAACTGCAACTTCCTTAGCCCCAGTTTTACTTCACCTTTGAGTCCAAGTTTTTCAAGTTTTTCTGCTCCTGAATTTTAATTAAGTTTGACTAAAAGCCACCAGCAATATCCATGCCACCACCTGAATGCTATGCTGTTTAGAAACTTCTGCCAGATTAAGAAGTTTATTGCTTTTAAAATCAGCCTCACAGAAAGTCTCAGGACATAGAAAAATGCAGACAATTTCTCAGCTAGAATATAACATGAATGGCCTCTAGGTCAATTCCCAATAGTATTTATTCCTCTGAATTTTCCTGAGCCCTGTCATCACTGTCCATGGTTCTATTGGCATTCTGGCTTTTTGAGCTCCCACCAGAATCAACCATTAAGCTCCACTTCTAACACTCTAAAGCATTTCTAGCTTGCATTTAAAAATACATTTTTTTAAAAAATGTGTACTTCCCCCATAACATCCATGGAATGCTTATTTGATTCCACAATACCCTTTCCTCTTTTTAAAGAACTCCATGCTGCACTCTACTAAAATGAATGAAAATGAAATGGGACTTAAAAGCTGGAGAATTTTGCAATTTACTTTGAGATCTATGGAAAAAGTCTCAATTGCTACTTTGAAAATTCAGTTAATGATAGGAAGTGAATGTGTGGGAAAGTCAAGTATTTTTGTCTAATTCTTTAATATAGATTATCAGAAAAAGGAGCGGTCAGCAAATACAAAGGCAAATGGATCCAGATGTTATAGGGTTAATCCAAGTCTGGAGCAGTCAGCAGTCAGCAGAGTGTCTGAAAAAGTCCTGTCAGTTTGAACCTACTTCCCACAGATGTCATCTACTACAAATATCTAAGTTTGTGGGAGCGCTTAGGTGAAGAAATGGAAATGAACCTGACAGAAATATTTTAACTGGCTGCCATGAGTTTCTTAATCATAAAGCATTCACATCTTAATACCAAAGACCAGATGTTATTTGTGGAAATTCATCTGACCTGACATAATGCTCATTATTCTTTCCAATCCTAATAATTATTAATAAAATATATGCATTTTGTTTGCATAAAGTTTATTGTTATCATAATTGAATACCGAATGTTTCTTAGATACAGAATCTAAGTCCAATGATCAAGCTTTTGAATTCTACACACTCATGGGTTTTAAAAGCATAAACAAAGTCAAATGTCTGTACATGGAAATTGTGAGTAATACCATCCCATTTTGAATGGTACTGAAATACCAGTAC